ATTCTAATGGTCCGGGAGAGGGATTCAGGGGTTGGTTGATCCCCTGTGAGTTTCGTGGGTTTCTCCTGGGGTGTTGGTACTCTTGGGAGAGGCTTGCAGTTTTCCTTACTCAATATTTTATCTCGGTAAATTGCATGAACTCTACACACGCTTACTATGTTTCACTCATCGTTGTACCAACTGTGTGTTTTTACGTGAATTTTGTATACACAACAAAGCAATTTACACGATTTATTGCTACCTAACCGTTAATTGTCCGTGAAAAAAATTTTCGATATTGCTACATATGGCTCGGTCTGGTCATACATAGCCACATCAGACCATTTATATAAACAAAAAAAAATAATAATTATTTATTATATTTTCTCTTAGTAAAGTAAAAAAATTATTTTTGTTTTAGCACTTATGTCTTAAACTTAACGTTTTTGCGCCTTCAGTCATAAATTTTCAAAACTAATTTTAATCAAAAAATTGTGTATGCATAGAAAAAATTTAATGTTTATAATTATTACAGTTTTTAAATAATATACTACCTAAAAATGTTATTTATTGAAATTATATTGTGGTTACTATCACAATGAAAGCTGACAATATTTGACACGACAATAGTAATATTAGTTATCATCATGATGCTAATAATTATCATCTCATGTATAAAAAAATTCCTATACTTCGATTTTCAGTAATATATTTTTTTTTTCAAATATTTTAATTTTTTTTTATCTCAAACTTGTTTATTAAACATATTTTATGTTAAGACTTGTCGGTAAAGATTTTTATTTTCAAAATTCTGTTTTGATTGATTAATTATTCACAAATGGCAGCCTTCAGAAATTGTGAACTCCAGTCTTTAGTAACCTTTAAAAAAAAAAAAAAAAAACAATTCAAAGTAGAATTAGAGTTTTTAATTACACAAGATGGTAACTATTATTATCGTGATGTTAATTATCACTATCGTGATGGTAACTTTCATATTCGTAATCGTAAATATTGTCAGCTGTAGTTAAAACAATTGTCATAATAAAACTTTAGTCGATAATATTCTAAAATAGTAACTATTAAAAAATAATGATAATAATTATTAACGTTACATTTTCTCCATGCATGTTAGTAGGGGCCACATGTGACTATATGAGGCTATACACGGGTATCTTAGGAAATATAAAAATTATATATAGACATTTCAGACCATATCAGAAAATTTTTCACGGTTGCACGCCACGCATCTTAAATAAAAAATAACATTAGTTTTTGTAGGAAATTATGGATAGGTAATCATGATTTAATTAAATACAACGCAGTGATTGAAGTTTTTATATTAATTAAATATTTAATCTTTATTTAAAAGATGAGTTAGTCAGTTTATGCTCACTAAAAACTAACAAAAATATTTTACAATGAGGCCTAAACCTCTTCTTAAGTATCATAAAAATTACATATGTTTTTACCCAAATATATCTACAACTCTGTAAGTAAACAGTACTTATATTAATACAGAAAGAGTCCTTTGTGTGACCCACGTGTCCAGGGTAATAAAACAGAGCTAGGACTAACTTTCCCTTCTTAAGAATACTTCAAATTAAAGTTGTAAAAAAAGTTTTTAAACTTAAAATCTAAGCGTAAAGCTAAAATAACAAAATAAAGAATTATAAACTAAGATTAATTTTTGTACGGAGAATTTAACAATTATTAAATGCCGAAGTTGATCATTTTTATTTTTAGAACACCAGTATTTGTTTTTGTTTATTAACTATCAAATTTACTGGCTAAAATTAATCGTTTAATTAACATAAATTGTTTTTGCTCTTGATAAATCACTCGTATATAACAAGGATTTTCGCATATACGTACACAGTTTTCCCAACAGTTGATTAAGCTGCTTGCATGAGGGGATGATATTACCGAGGATTGGCATCGCCAAATGAGTATTAGAGTGACAGCATTACGTTGGTAAGAGTTTCTCGTCTACTACATACTCGTTCTCCACTATACTACCTCCATAAACACTCAGCAAACTCATCGACACGTACAGCCTCGTGGTAAAGCGAGCATACAAAATCTCATCTCCATCGTGCGACTCATTTTATATTTCAAAGTATTAATATATAAATACATTACTCGCTGAATATTATCCGCTTACGGATTTATTTTACACTCAAATATTTAAATTAACTAAACATAATTTATAATTTCTTCGATGAATAGTTATTTATTATCATTATTTTACATTAATTAATATTTTTCATTTTTTTATTCATTTATGTTTCAGTTTTAATTCTTTTAAAATTAAGCATTCGTATTTACCAATCATATTCATCAATAAGCAATTTTTAAAAAATTATCAGTTCTTGTTATTATGATATCCAAAAAAAACTATTTTATCGACGTATTCTGCGTTTCACAACGCTGACGCGGTAGCGTCTGAAAGTACTCTACGCTTGATATACCGCCATATGCCATTTCATAACCTAAAATCGTTCTTACACCGTAAAGTAGACGTTACATCCATATAAAATTCATTTATTTGAGTATAAATTCCAATAAATGCAATTAAAAAATTCTTCATCCTTCCATCTATTGGTCGCTTCTAATGTTTAGTCTTCACCATTCAGGAAAATATATTCAATAGATCTAGATAAATCATGTCGAGTAACTTTGATTTTTGTCATCAAATTAGTGACAATTCGAAAATTATTACTACAAGCAGTAGATCCCGTGTAAAAAAAAATCGTCTTAAAATTGTCTTAAAATTTTCGTTCGTTTAAGATCTTAAACGTGACACAAACTAAGACTATTTTAAGACTCTTTTAAGACGCCAAAAGAAAAATTCCGAGAGCAGATTTTTGAAAATTTTGTTCTCGAATTTGTTGTGAAAATTAATTTTTAGATGATTTTACGACTTTCTAACCGCAATATTTTTGAGTAAGATGTTTTTAAATTGAATTTAAAATTGTTAAAAAATTATTATCTGACAATTTTAAGACTTTTTTAAGACGTTCCGTTTTAATGTTCCGGGGCTCTGTCGCTGTTAACCCATCTTAAAATAGTCTAAATTTTTTGTTAAGATTTTTTTAAGACTAATTTAAGATAATTTTGAGACAATTTAAAGACGCTCCATAATAATTTTCCGGAGCTGCCACTGTGATGTTATCTGAAAATAGCCTAAAAATTTTTTAATATTATTATTATATCGTTTTTACTTGTATACCTATTTTGGTTTTTACAAGACTGTAACCCATATTCTCCACATTTTTGCTATTACCACAGTAATACCACTCAAGTGCCACTTTTTGTTATCATATAACATTCATAATGTTATACCTGGCTTTTTTGGCCCTTTTAACTAACACTTGTTTCTTTTTGCGTTCAACTCTTTTTATAATCAACATGTTCTCCGCTTTTTATTATCAACACGTTCTCCGCTTTTTTATAATTGCCATCTCCTTTTTGCACATAACCTCTATTCTCAATTCGGCTGTGGACCGACTTGTGCTTTCTGTACTGTATTCACCCTATTCCTCACTCCTTTCTATCGGTTGTTGGAATAGTGGCGATGGGGAAACCACAGAGAAAACCCATGCCAGTACAGTCGGCTACCGGAGCGACCTCCGACGGTTGGTGTTGGAACTATTCGAACAACCGTCGGGGATCGAACCCTTGCCTCACAAGATGCACGAACGAACTAACGGGGATAATGACTTAGTCCGCTCGGCCGTCATGCCGCTCGTAAAAATTTTTTAATATTTTTTTTTTCAGATTTCTTTAAGACTATTTTAAGATTTTTCAAGACTATATAAAAATTATTTTAAAGCTTAAATCTTAAAATAGTCTTAGAAAAATCTTAAAATCGTCTTGAAAAAATCTTAAAATAGTCTTAAAAAAATCAAAATAATTATTAAAAAATCTCGGAATTTTTTTTTTTGGCATCTTAAAAGAATCTTAAAATAGTCTTAGTTTGTGTCACGTTTAAGATCTTAAACGAACGACAATTTTAAGACAATTTTAAGACGATTTTTTTTTACACGGGATGGATTATCGGGATTTTTTCCTTAAGAATTATCGTCGATGAGTTTTCGTTTTTTTTTTATTTTCCACTAATTCTTTCTCTTTTGTAAATGTACTATTTTGACATCCATATTCTCAAGTATTAACGCGACGGTATAAAGAAGAACTGCACATGTAAAAATTATTTGATATCGGCTATCCTTAATGTAGAAACAGATGTTTTCTACCAATTCAGGTGTTTTTTTTCTTAGGAATATTTTTTTAGATCTATTTTTAGCAAAATCAGCATATATTTAATTTCCTAAACTCTTGCAAATTTCAAATTAAATTTGCATCCAGCCAACCGATAAATTACTTGAAGTTATCATTAAAATGTGTTATTTTTTAAGAGGCATTTAAAAAAACGCTATAAATCTAGCAATTTCGACACGGTTGACGTCGCGTGTCGATCGTTAAACAGAAATGAGAGACGCAAAATCGTCGTGCGCCACAACTACATACCATAATGTTGCACATCTGTTTTTTCCTTTACTTTGGGTGTGTCGCGGACGATTGCCAGTGTAAACGAACCACTTCCTTGAGGGCTAATGTAAACGCAATCAATCAGTCTTAATAGTCTAACACTTGGAAACTGAAAAAAAAAAAAAAAAATAAAAGTAAAGACAAATAACTATAAATCTTTTTTCACAGATGCAAGAATACATTTGCATCACCTAATTCAATAAAATATAAAATGCCGACTTTATTCAGTCTGTTGGAATCATAACTGCTGATGAAATAACATGAAAGAAAAATTGATCAGCTACTTAACTATTGACAATAGTTCTATTGAACTTTTTTATTAAAAGTGTCTTTTTTATTTTTATTACATTTTATTCGATTTTACTATTTCTTTTGTTGCTCTAATGAAATTCGTTGAAATTGCTGCTGTTGATAATAAGATATCTAATTAATTAATCGAATAGATCGTCACATTAATGAGTACACTTTTCTTGTTTCAGAGAGACGTTCTCAATCTAGAACCGAGTAATGTTGCGAATTGCGTGTCGAAAGGAAAATCCGAGGTAAGTTTCTAATTTTAATATTTTTTTTTCCTGTTTCATTAAATATATTGAAGTGTAAAAGAGAAAAAAAAGAAACACTCCAATTAAATTAGTAAAGTAATCACATTTTATTCAATTAGTTTTCTACCTAAGAAGTAAAGATAAAGTTTGAAGTAATTTTTTTTTAAATAGTTTATATCGTTAATTACACAGAAAAAACAATTTTTTCATACTCCAGAAAGTCGTTCTATTTATTCAGAAAAAATAGTAGTGTTTCGATGGTTGTAAATAAATATAAAATCGAAAAAAAATTTCAGTAAGATAAAAAAAATGTTGCACTCGAAAGGAAATAAAAAAAAAAAACTTTTATCATTTACAGTTTTAGAATTTTAAAATGTAAATTCCTAAAAAGCTTTTGTTTTTACATTATCAATTTTATCTTTTACGTTTTTATACAGTTATAATTTTCTAAAGGGCCTACTTGTTTTATTTTCATAAAGTTATTTTTTACACATAAATATAAACATAAATAGTATATTACATACCTAGGCCAGTAAAATAAGAAAAGTCTCAGACCACATGTAATTGTTGGCCGAGGCGAAGCCGAGGTTGACAAACATGTGGTCTGAGGCTTTACTTTTTACTGGCCAAGGTGTGTATACTATTTTTCTGCTCGACGTAGCCGGAATGTGGCAACTTTGTTTAGCGCAGCGGCCAGAAAGTTGCCACTTTCCGGCCGGAGGGCAGAAAAAATAACTCTTTAAAACAGGCCTGAAAAATAACCATTATAGTTTTTTACATTACAAAAATGACATTGATCAAATAAAAAATCCATTTCACACCAGTTTCAATAAATAATATGAAATAATTTCCGTCAATCTAAAAATAAAACTTTACAACACAATACAATTAAACTCAAAAAACAAATTTACAATAGAATTTTCATTTGTTTCCATTATTTTCTTGCGCACACGTTCGTACCGATTTAAATATGAATGCAAAGTGTAAAACAGATTTTCGCTGAGAATACTTGATTTCTGTTGGTTCCATAAAAGCATCAATATTGGGTTTGCAGTTTAGCTGTGATGTATAAATCATCTATATATTCATTTGTTATCGGTACGCGTATTTACTAAATAAAACTTGAACAACTCAGTCCCATGATCGGTGTTCATAAAAGAAAATTGACTATTGGTATTGACATTGCTGGGTGGAGAACGTGTCGAATATTTTTACACGTTTCCAACTAAACGCTAAGTTGTAGTGAATGATGAAAGTTTTATTTTGATCGAAAAAAAAAAATAGTACGATAAACGAAGCATTCACTTTAATAGCCTGCAATTTTTTATTTATTTTTTTGCAGCACTTTGACTGCCGGAACCACATACGAGTAATCCAACCAATGACCGATGGTAACCGTCTGTACATTTGTGGTACCAACGCACACTCGCCAAAAGACTGGGTGATTTACGTGAGTACCTTATTTTATTTGTGTTATTTTTTGGCTGGTTTGCTTCTTTCACGTCTTATATATGTAAGATGAGATGCGAAAAGCAAAGCAAAGTACAAGTTTACTTTTTTTTTCAAGCTATTCAAGTATCCGTGTAATGATACCGAGGAGTATATAAGTCCCGCGTTGTCAAGTATTATGAGTCTCAAGTGTGTCCTACTAACCTGTGAAAATGTTTTTTTTGCACCTACATAAACATTTTCTGATTATACTGTTGCATTTAAAGTGGAAAAAAATTTACATGATTACACACAATACGTAATGTTAACATTATAAGAATCCCTTTGGTATAATTTTAATATTAAACGCTTGGCTATCAATTATTTTTATTTGGATAGATTTTTTTGAATTTTTAAACTCAATTTAAAATGGATGTAATTGAATGTTTAAAATTTAACAGAGTTGTGTAATTGTTTTTACAGAGCAACTTAACTCATTTACCGCGACACGAATTCGTGCCAGGTATTGGAATGGGTATAGCCAAGTGTCCTTATGATCCCGCTGACAATTCAACGGCAGTTTGGGTAGAAAAGGGCAATCCTGGCAACTTGCCTGCCTTGTACTCCGGCACGAACGCAGAATTCACCAAAGCGGACACTGTTATATTCCGTACCGATCTGTATAACTTGACCGACGGTCGCAGAGAGTACAGCTTCAAGAGAACACTCAAGTACGACTCCAAGTGGCTTGACAGTAAGTGTGATGATAATATAAATATAAATAAATCTATAGTCAACTATTTTGCAGCAAGTGCATTAAAACCAATGCATGACATATCATTTATCATTTACTCTACATTATTTATAATAAGATATTAATTATAATTATGATAGAATTAGAAAATTGATTAATTTAGCTTCATTACAATTTTTCTTTACCTACACGGAGAAAATTTTATAGTAGAGTTTATTATCTAGTTGTGTTAAAATCTATTAACTGAATTCGATAGTAGTAAATATTATTTGAATAATTAAGTAAACCATCGGAATTGTAGTATTTACCATCCTGATGGTAACTACTACTATTATGATGGTAATCAGTAATAATAACTGTTATTATTTTAATTAGTTACTACTACTATTATCAAAATCGTTATTTCTAATATAACCTGATGGTTATAGTTACAATTAGTAATAATAATAACTACTATCTAAGCTAGTAAAAATATTAAAAAATTAAAGAACCTGCGTTACCGTGAATGCATTTCTGAATAAACTAAAAGCAGATGTAGTGCACAAAAAATCGGGATTATATTCGGATTGAAATTATATTTAAATTTTTATTTGTTTAAAACAAGTTTGAACGTCAAATTTTTGAAAAAAAAAATTGAAATTTCCAAAAAAATCAAAATTTTCAATAAAATTAAAATTAAAAAAAAAATTAAAATTAAAAAAAAAATTTTAATCTTAAAAAAAATCAAATTTTCAAAAAAAAAAATTTGAAGGGAATTTAAAATATTTTAATATTTCAAAGAAAAAAATGTACATTATAAAAGATAATTATGAGCTGTGATAGAATTTGGTATTTTACAGTAAACATTATTATAATGTAATATAATTAATGCAAATAATTTATGAAGATGATTTTTAATTATTATAAGCAATCTTTTTATCATATAACATTGCAAGTGAAACAAATTTATTCAACAAAATATTTATTAACTGTTAATAAATATTTGTTAACTATTAATAAATACTTATTAACCATAAATAAATGTTCTTTCCTCCCAAATAAATATTTATTGAATGTTAAAAAATATTTATTAAAATTTAATAAATTAAATAATTGTCTTCAAATAAATTAAATTAATAATAGTTAATAAATCCTTCTATCAGTGTATACATATAAAAATACACAACAAGATGCTAAGTGATTTTTTTACTACTAGAAATTCCCTCTGTCACTAAGTACCAGACAATTAAGAAACATAATTAGAGAAACTCAATTAACGTGTTCACTAAAAGCTTTACGCGTCATTTTTTTTAACAATAACAATTGATTTTTGAAGATAGACCAAAAGTAAATTTAGGAGCGTCTTTGTTTGTATATATGTTCGATTAATGTAAAACGAAAAGTAATTTTTTTCATACATTAAACCCGATAAGTGATATTGAAGGAGCAACAGAGAATAAAAGTGATGGTTTGGACTCGTACAAAAAATCAATCTTACGAATCATCTCTACACGATTGCTTTCTCTTTGTGTAGTGTAACAATGAAGCTCCATTAAGCTTTATATGTACCTAGTAATTGTGACAATTTCTAGGGCAGCTTCCGTTCTTTTAAGTTAGAGAAGCCCAAATAATTTGAGTTGAAAGATTTTCATGTGTTCAATGGGTTTGGCATTTACGTCTAATAGCAATCAAATGAAATAAAAATAAATTAAAGGAGAAAAAGAGAAAATAAAAATGAAAAATAAATAAAATAGAGGTATAAAGACATTGTTCCGCCTCGGCATTTAAGGGTGTCTTTACTTGGTTATTTTGAGGGTCGTGCTTTTTTTGGTCTCTGTCTTTTTTAATGGCCGATGGATCCTACTATATTCTGGAATAGGTGCGGAGTACGCGGGAAATAAATTGCCAAGACCCGGAGGCCGTAACGCAGGGGTGAACTAAGGTGTACCATCAAACGTCAAGGGTGCGAGATATCTAGGAGCATGGTAATAAAATAACGTTCCTTCTCTCACTTTACTCACTTGGTATCCAACTAAAGGTCCCGTTCGAAGACCCCTTGTACTTGGAAGAAGAAGTTAAACTTACGCCTGTCTCCCTTTCCTCACTTCGGCTGTGTCGCATAGTTGGCACACCCGGTGAGAAGGTTTCCCACTCTCATCCTTCTCAACCTCATCCTTATCCACAACCTCATCCTCTGTGAATCAACGACCTGCAGCTTAGACACTTCAGCCACAGGATCACGGCATATCCCTCGGGGACATGAGAAAACTTTACAGAAACTATATAGCTTCAGGGTTATTTTAACTTTTTCATTTTACTCTAAATTAATTATTTATTTATATCTTCATCATACAATATCTTTTTTTATTTTCGCTATCAAATTTACCTTTCACAGCTAATTATTTTTTTTTAAAGCTACAAAGGCTATTTAAACACAATAAAATTTTCTGAAATTCATTCTTTATTGGTACAGATTTAAAAATTCTCATTACACAATTCAGATGTTGGAAATACTTTTTAATTCAGACTTATAAATATTTACATGGGATTGGCTAAGTACAGTACAGAAACAACAAAAAGTTTTGAGCTCATGAATTTCGAGTTCTGATCATCTGTATTATATAATCTTGTATTAACTTTTTGCTCCGTCTGTCGCGATGTAACTCCTTCAAAGGAATTTTTCGAAGATACGTGTAAAAAAATTTTTGACGTAAACACGTATAACTTGTTATGACGATGCCCATAAATAATTTTAAACTTAAAGTAGTATTGAAAATATCCGATAGATGGCGCATGATTTCTTAATCTTTTCGTAAGAAGAGATTTAAGTTTGAGGTGATAAGTTATAAACTAAAAATGATCTTACCGAATTAATTTTTGTTAGATCCGACATGGTAATCGAAATACACATTCTTAGAAAAAATGAAAATAGGCCACAAATAGCCATATCACAAAATTTTTCACGAGTTCTATTAAATTAGAGCCAAAAAACGTTGAATTTGTAACAAACCGAGGTTTTTTTAAAACTTTAATGAAAAATAAGTTATAATTATGTAAATAGAATAAATAAGTTAAATAGCAGAGTTTTGAGTTGAACTAATAACTTGAATGTTGATTTACCTCAAAAAGATGAAAGTAAATTTGTGAAGTTTTGATGAAGTAACTGTATAAAAAAATCGTAAATGAAATGAAAAATAAAAATGAGCCGTAGTTCTTGGCGTGGCTTATAACTGAGATGAATTTCACCTTTATAAACTATTAAACTACCTAAAGTTAAAGTGTTTTCTCGTTCACCCTTCTCTTAACCCGCGCTTACCCTTTTTCGTATCCTAGAGATGCATGATTAGCCATTTGTTTCGTCGTTTAATTTAAAGCCTCGCGTTGTAGCAGCCGCGCTCTAGCAACACCCATCAAGAGTCATTCCTCTCATTGAGTTTGTCTATTAACAAAGGCGTTGATTAAACTGCAGAGAGTGATCGTGAGAACTGGCTGGCACGGGTGACGAATGTGATACGCCAGGGATGTGTTTTAAGTACGTACGCTTTGGATCGATTTACTGAGGGTTAAAGTTATCCAGCAAGTTGATGGTAGTGCCGGCGGTCGTTCTAAGAGCTTGTATAAATTGAGGAAAAGAGAAAGAAGCTGAAAACTGCCACACCGGATGAAGCTGCGGTAAAGATAGTATGCTGCTGAGACTAGACTACAGATGGAGAACGAGAACCTTGGATGAGAGAAATCGCAGACAAGAGGGTGATACTGCTAACGAGATCTGAATAACTGGCTGACGAGACAACGTTGGCCAACCACTTTCACGGTTTTCTGAACTTACAAGACCAACGACAACCAACCATCCACGTTTGCGCCTTTTTATTACAATTTGTACCGGAAGATAAATTCACAGCATCTACATCAGTGTAGTTAGTTCACGTTAATAGTATAAAAAAATTTTGGACGAAACAGAGCGCAACCTACGGAAAAAACTATACTAAATGAGTCTCTTGGGTGCAAAAAATGAACCTTTAAATTTACAAGCTTGATTATTTACAATTAGACATCACGTAAGATCTCGGTTGTTTTTTTCTTTATTATAGTATTTGAGTCAAATAATTGTTTTATTGATATAACAAGTGCACTGAAATAAACATTAATCATTTATTAAAGATAGAATACATTTTGAGTCAATTAAAGGGGTATTCTGGTCTAGAAGCCTAAATTTTAGGCATTTTTCAAACTAACATAAAAAAAAATGAAAAACATTTTTATTATCCGTTTTGTTATATGATGTTTATTGACATTTCAAGAATATAAAAAAAAATTGAAAAAAAAAAATGATAAATTTGACAAATTACAGGCCGGTGAAGTAGGGGCTACAAAAAAAAATGGTGCACTCTGGTTGACATGATTCCAGTCCTTGTAGTTATATGAAACAAAAAAAATTGAAAAATTCTCAATCTGTAAAGATGTAGCTATCGCGTTGACTTTAGCCAAAAAAAAAAAAATTTACAAAATGGCGTCGACTCCAAATTGAAATTTTTTGAAATCCATAGCAGACACGATAGAGAGATATATAAAGCAAATTCCCGCTAAATTTCAAAGGAATCAGTGGGGTAGAACTTAAGATATCATGTCAACCACTTTAAAAAAAGTAGTTTCGAGAAAATCGCGTTTAAAGTTTGAGAAACAATTTCAGTAAAATAACTCATAATAATATTGAATATTCACTTTGGATTAATCGCGAATCCCAGATCCATAAATTGGGCCTTCTACTGCTTCCTACTCGATGTTTTGCGAAGTTCTTTCTGCTAATCGAGCTGTTCTGCCTTCTTTTGAAGAAGCAGAAGCTGCTGCGTCACAAAATCCACTGTATCTCCGAAAATAATTTGCATTTTGAACAATCTACTTAAGGACATATTTTTAAAGGTCTAAACTTTCGAAATATGGAAAAAAAAAAATTCGAATTTTTCAAATTTCTAGACCAGAATACCCTCTTAATCGAAAACACTGATTGAAGGATTTTTTAATATTTAATGATTAATTTTTAATAAATGATTTTCCAACATTAGCCTTGAATAAAAACTGAATTTTTATTAATAATTTAAAAAAGAATCATTTATTAATTAAGAAAAAAAAAATAACTCGAGAAATCAAATTTAGAATTTTCTACTGACGAGAAAAATATTTTTCATTTTTTAAAGAAACTCAATTTAAAACCTTTCACAAAAAGTAACTGACGACATTGAAATATGAATATGTGTAAACGATTTAGAAGCAATTACTTTCAAAGAATTTTATTGTACCTCACTTTATTTTATTACACAAAAATGATTGATGTCTGAACCGGAAGTGATAAATAACTAAAATTAAATTTGTAGTATTACTAATAATATTTTAGACGTTATTCCGTTCTTAGTATTTGTTCAATATAACTTTCTGAGATCACATTTCATAACATCCACTAATTTAATAATTTCTTGTTGGCTTGGAACGTTTGACTGGTCAGAAATGATTCAATTTCTAGGCTCCCTGGGTTTCATTTGAGCTATAAGACTTAGACGTGACTATACACTCAGATGGTCTTGCACAGTCGGAGAGTTTTCACTAAAGCTCATCGAAAAAGTAGACGATTGAGAGGAAGATCGAGCGAAAGAGTAACGAGAAATAATGTTAAAAAAAAGAAAACGAGGAGAAAAATGTGTAGAGAGGAGAAAAGCTCGAATCTGTGCAGCCAGTAGAGCAAGCACTCTTATGTCAGACATTCACTTTAATCTCTTTCACGTTCGTTAGTACTCGAAAGTTTCGCCTCTTAGATGGACTTCATCGATTAAATCAATAAATTGTTTTAAGAATTATAAAAAATAATAATAACAAAATTAGTAATTACAATAAAACAACTTGAACTTGAAGTTTTTCTCGAAGAATTTCTCAATTTTTCACGTGAAACGTTAATAGCTATCATCGTTCACTACATCTGGAATTTCCTCTTGAAGATTTATGATGCTCTTAAAATTGAAACTAGTAAAACCCACGTAGACTTGGGAAAAAAGGCACATTTGTTTTGGTATAGAAGCAGAAGCAAGCTTAACCTTATACGCCCATCGTTTTTGGTAGTTCATTCGGTCGCGAAATTATTAACGTTTTCGTTGCCGTAACTTTAAGGTACAGAAGATAGGACTATTAAACTGGGTTTTACGATAGCTTGGGTCATAAAACGACAAGTGGATGATCATTGAACTGGCGTTAAATTTCCGGATAGTCTCTGTCATCATACCCTACTGTGAATAACATTGAATGAAAACTACAAAAGTCGTTCGTCGACTAACCTCGCTCGCTTTCTCGCTTTCAAAAGCTTTTAACCATTTTACGCGGCCGAAGATAGAATGAGAAACATCCGTTTTATAGCCTCCCACTGCGCTCATTTTCTGCTCACCGCACAAACAAATCGTTTGTACAAGTTTAAATTGTATCACCTTTTGAATTGTTTCTTTTGTTTTTAATTATTTATATTAGTCTCATCGTTATTAATTTAAAAAAAAAAAAAAATAACTTGGGAAATAACTTGTCCTTAAACAGATCATAAGTTGGTTTGCGCATGCGCGAAAATTGAGACAACACGTTCCACGGTTCCGAACGCTACATATAGTTCGTTTTAGTACTAGCATTAATTTCCGTGTGTGTTTTGATGAATACACGTGAATATATTTTACGTAACTCAAGTAATAAACTTATCCATTTAACTATATACTCATAAAACACATGTATTTATATTAAATCACTCATGCGTGCAACGCGTAAGGCAAAATTTTATGTCTTTTATCATGTTTGTACAAGTTTATTGTTCAAGTACAAAAATTATAAGTTTAAAATTACTGTCTCAATTTCAGAGTTTATTATAAAAAGTATTACGATTAATTTTTTCCATTAAAATAAAAAGCCAAACTCATTTATAAAAACAAAATTTAAATATTATTATAACTATTGTGTTTTTTATTTTACATTTTCAAACTGGATTAAGATTTCACTTACTACAATCGTAATGAAAGAAAATTTAAATTATCTGCAGAAAAAATAAATTTTAAATTAACAAGTTCCGAGTCAATCGTTTTTTCACAAAAATTCTAAATGTAAAAATACGATCAATTTGTAGTAAAAAGACCAGCAGCTCTCTCAAGTTCTTTCATTGTATTTTATCAGAATAATTGTAAAATTCTATTGAAATGAATTATGGAGATGGTACAAAAATAATATTAAAATGCAAAGTCCGTTAATTGGATCAGTTATTATTATGTTAGAAAGCATTGTGATAACAAAAGCGTTCTTTCGTGAAGATATTAAATATTTAAGCGTTCAATTTATTGCTATGCTCATAGAATTTTATTTTTTCGTTAATTAGCTGCTTTAGTCACCCAGTAATTATTTAAATTCATTCAGTTCTAGCTTTCGATTTTTTTATTTATGAGGATAAGTTTAAAATATAAAATAAAATTTAACAAAATAATTTACTTGAAACAATTGTTTTTTATTTTTTCCAGAACCAAACTTCGTAGGATCATTTGACATTGGGACTCACGTTTTCTTCTTTTTCCGCGAAACCGCAGTGGAGTACATAAATTGCGGTAAAAGTGTGTACTCACGAGTAGCAAGAGTGTGTAAAAAAGATACCGGAGGCAAGAACATATTGTCTCAAAATTGGGCAACATATCTCAAGGCCAGGCTCAATTGCTCAATTCCGGGGGAGTTCCCTTTCTATTTTAATGAAATTCGTAAGTAAATTCATAATAATAGCAATAACACATTTTACTCCTCCTCATCTCTCATATAAAATATGTTTACATCTTCATCTTCATCATCATCATTATTTATTTTTCTTCCTGCTGGTATCTTCCATCCATTTTATTTCCCATGCTCATGATCATAATCATGATTATAACATTCTTTTATTTGGTGGTATTATAATGACGGCATACTAATGTTATATCTTTGGATGAATCTTTACCGCAGAAAGCATCTACAAAGTCCCAGGCGATGACACACACTTTTACGGAACATTCACAACGTCAACAAATGGTCTGATGGGCTCGGCCATTTGTTCGTTCCACATCGACGCCATTCAAGAGGCATTCCGTGGTAAATTCAAAGAACAAGCTACAAGCAGCAGTGCTTGGCTTCCCGTACTGTCTAACAAAGTACCTGAGCCAAGACCAGGTCAATGTGTTAACGATACGGAAACATTACCAGACACCGTTCTCAATTTTATAAGATCTCATCCGCTCATGGATTCTGCGATTTCTCATGAGAACGAAAAGCCCGTATTTTTCAAACGTGACATCATGTTTACTAGACTAGTCGTTGATAAGCTGAGAATTGATTTCATCGGGATGGATCTTGAGTACACAGTCTACTATGCTGGCTCAAGTGAGTATTGGTTTATTTTATTGTAAAATTTGTTGTTTTATATGTTCAAGGATGGTCATTCGCTGCTCATACTATCAGATAGTTTTATAAATTTTATTTTATTCGGACTATTTTAAATGATCTAAGATATAAATATTTGATGAGAAAATTTTCAACTTCAGGGGTGTTAAATTTTTTTTTTTCTTATATTTGAAAATCTTTCAAAGACATCAACGTTAATACAAAATTAACAGAAGATTCTACATAATTAAAATAAAAATTAACTAGATTCAAGAGGAAAAATTTAATACCAAAGACATTATTTCGATAAATTTGATTTTGTTGAATCAAGCAAAAAAAAATTTATATCAAGAAAATTTTCTTGATTTCACGACTCATGATGCGAAGCATCAGAGAATGCTTTTCGATTGAAAAATTTTTTTCGCCTCATTTTGGCAATTATTGCACGACTGCAAAAAATTTTTTTTATTATTATTATAGCCTTGTTAGTTCACAGAATCAAGATATTTTGCATCCTATTGTCAAGATAATTTAATAGAGATTAATTCCATACTTTTCAAAAATTTATCCAGTGCAATTGGAACGAAAAAAACGTCAAAATAGTTGAAAAAATTTTCCTGGCGTCATGTATGAAACCCTGAAAACAGTGTAACTTGTGAAAAAATCTATTGATTGAGTCTAATTTTTTTTTTGATAAATTCTTTGAAATAATTGTAGGTCACCGAATGCAAATGGCTAGGTAACTTAGAACTTCGAGTCGTTTATTTGGAATTAATAAAATTAAAAAAAAGCCAAAGGACTGTATGTCTATATATATTCAGTACATTTATCCCACTAGGGACGCGTGCGCATTATCATCTTATTTCAGCTGTTTGATATTTTTTGTACATTCGCTTTATTTTATTATTTCATAATTAAATGAACATTATTAGTCGTGCAGTTTTGGATTTCCCAAATTTTTTTGTAAATTTTACTCAGATTAAAAATGATTTTATTGGTTCAAGATTCTTACTTTTAAATCGAGATATTTTTTTCATTAGCGTAAGCTGAAAAATAGAAACAATTTTGAAAAATAATGTATAAAAAGAATTATTTGCCAATATTACTTTCTTCAATAACGAATATTTTTGACAGGTAGATTGAAGTTATGTTGGAAGAAGTAAAAATTATGTAATAAATACTAACTTGTTTGATAAAAAAAAACTATCATTTTATTAACTACTAATTTAAGTTCCAAATAATTTGAACACACCAAGTGATTAAGTCTCAAAATGGCGGACACGAGTCATGTGGTGCTCTCAACTGCAAGTTGCCGTACAAAGAACCGCAATATGTAGTTGAGGGAACCACACAAATAGAGCAAATCCAACTTCTAGACTTAGCACCATCTGAGATATTTATTCATTATTATTATTACTGTTTACATAATAATTGTTACGACAACGACACTTATTGCACCTTTGTCGTCAAAAGCGCCACAATTTATCTTATAGATTAAACAAGCAATAAGTAACTTATCTTTGATAAAACTAGCTAATATGAAGCGTGTGGACGTCCTTGAATTCAAAAATGATAACACTAATTAATCCTGGTCATTGTCATTATGTTTATTATTATAGGCGATGGCAGAGTACACAAAGTTGTACAGTGGGTAGACAGCAATGGAGAGTCCCAGTCAATACTGCTTGATGTATTTGACGTAACTCCCGGTGAACCTATTCAAGCGATGGAGATCTCTAAGGAACATAAAGCCCTCTATGTTGCCTCAGACCATCGTATAAAGCAAATCGATTTAGTTATGTGCTCTCGGCGATATGATAACTGTCTACGTTGCGTTCATGATCCATACTGCGGCTGGGACAAAGACACTAATGCTTGTAAACCCTATGCACCAGGGTAAGTGATTTAATTAGCTACACAATTAACGATTGTGCTGCTTAATTATTACAATTTTCTTCATTGTTACCATTTATTCTTTTTTTTTTTTTGTTATTATTGTAATTCAAAGTTGCTCAAAATTTATCATTTTTTCAAACAGGGAAATTTCAAATAAAACAAAAAAAATTTTGATCAGAATTCAATTTCATTTCATTACTTGAAATTTTTAATGATTATTGATATTTACTAGAATCTTTTTACCAAATAATAAATTCGGTCATCCGAGTAATAGATAGAAGGTTAAGCTAATTTTTAACGATGTTTTGTTCATCAGAAATTTATTGAAAATTTGCCTTTTTTCAAATTTTTGCCACGAGAAACTCATTAATAATAAAAACTAAATTTAATCTTAGGAATAAAATAAAATAAAAGTAGTATAGGAACAATTAGATGTGTTCTCATAAGAAAAAGGAACGAATACACAGTACAAAATGTATGTAAATGTACTCAATGCATTACATTAGAGTGATTAATTAAGAACTTTCGAAACTTAAATTGTACTCACGAGTAATAAGACCTATCGGGTAGTAAAATTTTATTAACTTGTAGGTATTTGTAATGAAAAGAAAATTATTGATAAATTTAGATATTTCTCATTATTTAAGAAGATTTTCTATAAAATATTAACAAACTAGTAGTCCGCCCCAGCTTCGCACGGTATTTAACAAAAATTTCGAAATTAATCATAATATAATGTAGCCTATGTCACCCGGGGATAATGTAGCTTCCCAACAGTGAAAGAATTTTTCAAATCGGTTCAGTAATTTCTGAGCCTATTCAATGCAAACAAACAATCAAATCTTCCCTCTTTATAATATTAGTATAATAATAATAATCATTTTTTACTAGAAAACAGAAAAAAAATTAACAACAAAATTAAACATATCAAGTATAGCCATGTCTGAACCCGAATATGTTTATCAACAAAATTTTGAAAAAAATGTTAGTTTAGATATTAGTGTTTATTACTATCCAAATATTCCTTAGCTAAGCTTTATTATCCGTCGGTACTTTTGTTAACCATTAATTAATCTGATCTAATTGTACTCAATATTGATAAACTTTCAATTTTATCATTCTTAATTTAAATGAAAAATAGATTTTCCAAATTTTCACATAAACTTCACTAAATAGTTTTGTTGAGACGTTATGTCTTGATACTAAGACCTCAAATTTTCATAAATTTTATTCAATTACATTCCAAATAAATTCAATTCGGCTGAATGATCCACATCTATGAAATTACACTTTTTACGACTTGTATTTTTCAATTGAACATAATTATGATTATTTATCAAAATAGCACTCATTCATCTATTGGTCGTATTACTCTATTCTACAAGTATTATCATCAGATCAATTTTAAATATTTATTCCCTCTCAAATCCATAAATAGTAACCTACATTTTAAAATTTTTTTTTCGCACAAAATATACTTGAATTATTCCCAGCCCTCGACATTTAGCAAGAGTTTCCTCTAAAGATGTTTCGCCTATTTATTCTTTACTCGGAGATAAATATTTCTACCACTTGCATTCATAATATCGAAAAAATTGAATAAATGCCGTTTTGACCTAGATAATCCGTAAGTATTATTAAAAAAAAATCTGGCACGTAGATACTGGAAATTAAGATTTGCTCAAGTATTAAATTTGATTTTTCAACATCAACGTTCATCCGTAAATGTCATCTCTCCTTCTAACCGTATACTATATTTTATTGGACGAAATTAAATTGGATGAGCCAAGCGTTTGCAATAAATTCAATAATAAATTCTGTTCCTTGTTAAGTAAACGATTTGGCAGTACAATTTACAATTTGAAACTTTTTTCCATCACAAGCTAAGTCCGTATCCACCCAGACATTTAAATTACACAAATCAAATGGATTGTAATTGTTGATAATTTAATTTATTTGATTTCGATCAACAACTTTGTGATAAAAATCACAATTATCAAGATCAAAGAAAAAAATAAAATAAATAAATTTCATTTCTGTTTGACTTGAAGACTCCTTCAAGACGTTTCGAACAGCACCGCCGATGTTTGCGACAGCAGCGTGGGAAAACGAAAGCTGGTGGTAACGTGGGGCCAATCGGTGCATCTGGGGTGCTTCGTAAAGATGCCGGAGGTGTTGATGAATCAAGAGGTTAGGTGGTATCACTACAGCAAAGAAAAAGGAAGGTATCAGATCGCGTACAAGTACGGCGCTGGAGGTGACAAGTTCATTGAGACCTCCGAGAAAGGTCTTGTTATTGTTGGTGTGAACGAACAGGATGCGGGAAGATATGATTGTTGGCTCGGAGGTGCTTTACTTTGTTCTTACAACATCACCGTTGATGCGCATCGTTGTTCCGCACCAGCAAAAGCTGCTGACTATCAGAAAATATATTCTGACTGGTGTCATGAGTTTGAGAAGTACAAGTCAGCGATGAAAAGTTGGGAGAGAAAGCAAGCGGTGAGTTTATATTTTATTATTATTTATTTTTAAGTAGTCATTTAATTCATTTAAAATCAATAAAGGAGTAATTGATAATTTTAATTGTTTTATGTACAGCTATAAGTGACTCTTTATCATAAATTACTGTTCGTCTGTTGATTAAAATTTTATTGATTGTTAATCATTATTATCAATCAGTATTATCAATCCATTATTTTTTGTGAATAATTCAACGATGTAATTGGGAAGTAAATTGTTTATTCCCACTGATGGAAAATTCATTATGAAGTTATCAAAAATTCATGATTATGAATTAATTTATTAAATATTCATTTTATTCGACCTACTTTTTATTAATCAATATTTAATTTCTCTGTAAAAATTAAATATTCTCAATAAATTTTAGTATTGCTTTATTTAATTGATAAAGGAGAATATATGTTATAAACTTCTTCAACACGATAGTTTAATTTTATCAAATCAATGAATTGTTAATAACTGTAATGTTTTTTTTTTTTTCTATACATCATTATATTTAGTGATAATAAGCTTATAAGTCATATTTTCAGGAGTTTGATAATTTATAATTTACAATCCACGACATAGGTTAGACGCTTACGATCCAAATTTATAGACAACGTTCAAAAATCGCAAATAACAATAAAATATTTTTTATTTTAACGTGTTCAATTGTTTTTTTTTTTTTTTTTTTTTTAAGTTTTTTTGCGTAGTTAAGTTTTAGAATTTGAAAAATAGTATATTATACACCGAGGGAAGTAAAGTAAGAAATGTCTCAGATCACATGTAATTTCTTATTTACTTCCCGAGGAGTGTATGCTATTTTTTTGCTCGACGAAGGCAGAAAGTGGCAATTTCGTTTAGCGCAGCAAGCCGAAATTTGACGCTTTCTGCCCGTCGAGCAAAAAAAAAATTTTTTTCTGAATAACGTATATTATTCTTAATCTCAGTATATAAATTTTGTTCATTTCAATACACAATTTATTGCACATTTGACGTGCCAAACTAAAGCATTTAATATTGCGCCAATGAAATTTTATATTTTTTTCTTATAAAAGTGCATGATTTAGCTACAATTTTCCGCCAAACAGGTCAAAGTATCTCAATTACTTCTAAAGTTATGAATTTTTCAGTAAAACACTTACTTTTCACTAAGTAATCTCATTTTTTAAAGAGAAAATGTATGCAAAATATAAATTTGTCATCAATATATCAAGTTAAAGTTTTCTAATGATAACTCAAATTTTTTCTAATTTTTTGTCTATTAAATTCTACGAAAAACCGGCTGGACATTAATGACCCAGGCTTATAGACAAAGAGTGCAAAATAAAACCATTACAGACAAAGAGCTGATAAACTTAAGATTGTTACAAAAAACTAAATTTAAAATAAACAAACAACTAATTATAAATTTTTAAAAATAAAGTTTTCTGCCCTCCGGCCGGAAAGTGGCAACTTTCTGGCCGCTGCGCTAAACAAAGTTGCCACATTCCGGCTACGTCGAGCAGAAAAATAGTATACACACCTTGGCCAGTAAAAAGTAAAGCCTCAGACCACATGTTTGTCAACCTCGGCTTCGCCTCGGCCAACAATTACATGTGGTCTGAGACTTTTCTTATTTTATTGGCCTAGATATGTAATATACTATTAATTTAAAAATCACTCAATTTAATACGCATAAATAAAAGTAAGGGATAGTAAGTGAGAGGGTAATAACATTAATAGTTATTTATGCAACAAGTCATTTATTTTTCGTGAAGCCCAATATTTTTAGAACGAGTCGTAGACATATGCAGATCTCGCCAAGCTACTAGTGCATTCATGTGATAAATTTGCGAAGAAATCATTATGAATTGATCAATTGTTAAAATTTCTTAAATTAGGAAAATAATAATTGAAATTTCGAACTATTTATAATAAAAAGCCGTAAAGAATATGAAAATTTATAACTTTCGTTGTTTTAGCACATAACCCTACCGACCAACATGTTTCACAGAACAATTCGATCGCACTTTTTCCATGTACATCGTGCAGTAAATCAATCCAAAAGTACACACTCTATAAATCAAAATTCGTTGTTTTTAAAAACTCGTAGCTGAAATAAATTTATGGCGTTACATGAATGATAGAAACAATTTAATGTGAGTGCAGTCTCGTAGCGATAGTTTACAGCGAACTACAGTTGCGATCGAAACGTGCCAAAAAAGTCATGCATTGTAAATGAATGTTGGTTGCATGGTTACTGATTATGATTACATAATCGTAGTTATCTGTGGAGTATAGATTAATACTAATTAGCTCAATATTGAAAGCAATTTAATTATCCGCTGGTATCGACTTTAATTAAATTAATTACTCCAGTTGAACCAAGTAATTAATTAAAAATATATTACAAACTATAACTTTATGAAAACAACAAATCATTTAATGTTAACTAGAAAACTCAAACATTTAACGCTGGGTGTGCGCTATACATTATATATATATATACTTTTGAAATTTATCATTGTTATCAATGTACAGTAAATGTATTTCCGGTACGTAGAGTGTTGTAAACTAAAATGATATCAAAGTTAACTGGTAAATCAAAAAAAACTTCAACAAACACCGATGTAAATTAAAAGGTTTGATTTTCAATATTAGTTGTTGTTGGTCTGTTTATGTATTTGCAGTCCGGATGAATGAAAAAACAATATCCGGAGCACACAATAAATCGATTCGTATTTTCCTGTGTGTACTTCATTCAGAGTTGTTCAACAATAAATTCTGTTGAAAATTTTAAATTAATTTTTTTTTACTTAATTGTAACTCATGACTCATGAGCATGAACAAATGTAAATGCAACAATTAGTTTCATGTGATGTACCTGCGAGGCGGAGTAATTAAAATTTTCCAAAGCTATATGTTACTTGTGACCTTTTAACTTTGTCGCGTGCTATTTTAAAAAGTAAATGGAATAGTTTTATTTATCTTCTTTTTGTGCAAAATTCATGTTATTTGCGCTTGCATATTTAATGCAATTGTCCTATTTTTAAACTCAGTAACTGACAATTCTCACTTAAATATTTGAAAAAAGATTTTTCAGTATAAGAAATTACTTATTAAATTATTTTCAAAGTGGAAAGCATGAGATAAATTAAAAGCAATGGAAAATCCAAAAACACCAAAAAAAGTTAAGGCAGAAAATTGCAATAAAAATTAGGAAAATGGTTGACCCTAAAGGCCATCCCTGCAACTTCCCGCTCATTCCATATTTAAGCACTGAAAATTGCACTCATTACGTTTTTGAGCTCTTCGAGCTCAAAAATATAATTTTCGTGTCATTTTGAGCTCTCCGAGCTCAAAAGTCTGATGCACGTTTAATAAAACACAATTTTTTGAATTTTTAAACCACAATAACTTTTGAATAAATGAATCGATTTTCACGTGGTTGGCGGCATTCAACGCAGTTTTTTGAGCCTCATAAAGATTCTTTAAATTTAAAGTGATCGAACTATGAATGTTGAAGTAATTAAAAAAAAAAAACACTTTTTTCGGTTTTTTTTCGACAACGATAATTCACGAACAAATCAACCAATTTCGACCGGGCTAACGGCAATCAACGTATTTTTTTTATGTTAAGAGCTGATTAGTTTTTGGAATCGATCGGTTAAGCCATTTGAAAGTTATTCAAACACACACACACACACACACACACACACACACACACACACACACACACACACACACACACACACACACATACAGACAGACCTACGGACATACGGACATCATCGCGAAAACATTCGGGGAAGCTTCCTTGGACCTCAAAACGTCAACATCCGTTGAAAACTCGATTTTCGAAAAACGGGGTAAAACCAATAACTTCCAAACATTCGAAAATTTTTAATTTTCTTAGCGGGAAGTTAAAAATCAATCAGTTTTCTTTGTTAAAGACCAAAATTTGATTCATAAATTTTATGAGTTTTTAAAACTTTGCGTAATTTTGTTATTTGTCTATCGGTATATGTTAATATATAAATCCATAGAGTTTTTCATTTTTTTTTTTGATCAACTGCACTTCTCAATCAAATAAAATTTCTTATAATAATAATTCCTGAATAATAATATCTAGACACAGACGAAATAGTAATGACTAAATTAGAAAAATTTTAAAGAGAAAACAAGCAATCAATACCTTTAACTGGCACAACTTATATCTAAAATTTGAAAATTTTTCTAACAGATTTAAAAAAAACAATATTTATTCTGCAAGTTTCTTATCGAAGCAAATCTCGTAAAAGAATTATTGGAGTCTTAAATTTTTGTTTTTTGAGGTGTGCAATAAAATTTAATTTTATTCTTTAAAAATTTACAGTTTATTAAAAATTTTCCAATAATAATTATAACATTTATGAGTTATCGTTCTAACACAGTGATTAATAAAAATATTTTTGAACAATTTGTTACAGCAATGTTCATCGCGACTAAACGACAGCAACCAGAACGTCCACACGAATGAAGTATACGGGACGCCACTGGTGTGATCTCCCGGTGTTGCAGAGCCTTTATTAAGCAGAGATTACAACACGATGATTCGTACAAATGTCCAGCTAAGTAACGGCGTTTCCGGTGAAATAGTTCTCTGGTGTTACTCAGCACTATTGTCTCTGATGGCTCACTACTTGTTTGACACAGTGATGACTGGATTACCGTTCATTGTGTGAATAAACTAAATAAACATGCAAACAAACATTACGAAAGTGTTCAAAAAAAAAAAAATAAAAAAAAACAGTGCCATCACCAATTTTTTACATCGTGAATAAATCCCAAGTTGACATAACATTTAAATAGACTCCAGTGACTGCCTCGCGATAATACGCTGTATTGCTATTTCATTGATTTAATGTTTTAATTTCCACAACAACTTATATAAATAAATCCATTTTTTCTACACTTATCATTTTTAATTAAATGTACATAGTTAAAAAATTTTTAAATAAAAAATAAATGAATATAGCAACACGGCACATTATCGTCAACGCAACAAATTCAGAATTAAAATTCGCGTCTATAAAAATCGAATACGTTGATTAACTTAATTAATCCTGAATAATTGTTATGATAAATGAGTGTTCGATCGATTATGAAGACTTCTGGAGGACCAAGTGACTTTTGAGTCACCAGTGCCGCGTTAAATTTCGCCTAATACGAATGGAACAAAAATGTTTAATTAATGACGAAAAAAAAAAAAAAAAAAAAAAAATATGAAAAGTACGAACGTCAAAAGTATTCTCTGTTTTCTCAGACCTGTGATATGGATGGGTAGCCGAGGAAAATCTGTGTTTAATCTTAAATTTAATCCGAGAATAAGGAGAAAAAAATTTACGTAAATAACTACGTAAACTCTAAACACGGATAGACTTATGAAATGAAAAGCAGAAAACAATCATGAAACGTGTATATATTTCGTTTCGTTTATTGAGGTATGTCACGTTATTTAATAGGATACATTGTATTGATAATTGAAATTAATAATTATTAAATGCAGTAAAATAGAGTAATAAAATATGTAATAAGTGTTGGTGGCGGACGCTAAAAATTATATGTATTACGAAGCTGTCCATAATAATTTAATAATTATAATTGCTTCTCGATCGACTGATGATAAGCATTACTATTTAATTGTAATTTTAATTGTAATTATAAAAATTAATGATAAATGGTTAAGAGTTACGATTAATAACTAACAATAATAATTAAATAAAATAGTCGAGTGTGTCTTTACTGCGTCTGTAACTAAAAAAAAAAAAAAAATAATAATAATAATAATAAGTGCAGTCGTAAGAAAATGAGTTACATTATGAGATTACCGACGGCTTGTTCGCAAAATAATAAAACACTTGTCGCGCAATTTTTATTTTTGTTAACTTAACTGATCAGTATTTTGGTGACGCGATTAGTGATCTGACAATTGATCCAACGAGAATTTATTTGAGTGATGTTTGAACTGACAATTTGTTATTTGGTGATTAATTTTGGTCTTAACAGGTGAGACCATCTTTTTCTCGCTTTGCTCTCACGGAGTTCAACGGAACTATCTCTGTCGCACTCCCAACAGCAGAGCAATTGCAGTTTCGATTGGTTTCACGAAACAAATGAAATTTTTGAAAAAAATTTTTGTGGTGAAATAGTTTATTAAATTATCTATTTTCTCTAAAAAGGTTTTTTTCAAAATTTCCATTCGTTTCGCTAAGCCGATTGAAACTGCAATCACTGATCTCGGCTGTTAATAGTAATATCCTTTGTATTTTTGAAAGTAATTGTTTTTTTTTTTTTTTTTTTTTTAAGGTAACAATTTACTCGTATTTTTTTAAATGTAAGTACATAAAATCCGTAAAAAAATATTATAGAAAAAGAAATATATAAATGAATAGAAAGAGATTGAATATTCACTCCGACTGACATTTATGTAAGAAGCAAATATAATTACGTTGAATAATTTAAGATAAATACAGAAATATATGTTAATCAAAAAAAAAAAAAATTATTTAAATGTGTAAATTTATTCCAATGTCGTTTTTTCAGTTTAAATATATTTTTCTTTATTAATCATTAATTGTTGAATTAAAGCTTTTTTTTTCGAATAAATGTCAGTTGAAGGTTTTTAAATTTATCTTTTTTTCCGATACTTTAAATTTTATATTTTTTTATTGTAAACTGTTAAATGATATTTTTACTTAATTCAAAAATTAAAAAAAATTAAAATCTATTTCTAAAAAAAGAATTACTTTGTTCTAAAGCTAAATTTTTGACTCATTATTGTTTTAATCGACTAAACTGTTCAAAATATAGTTTCAAAATCAAATTTAAGACAAAATTCTAGATATTTTTAGTGGATACTTAATCAATTCTTTCATTAAGTTTGATGACAAATAAAACACAGTAGACAAAATTCGAGATCCCGGCCAAAAATATATTTCTTAATATTTTTCTTCTAAAATAATTTAAAGAAATTGTCGTTGGATTAATATCTCCGGATCAATCGTTGCGTGACCCAGTATTTTGAAAGCATCGAGTATTAAAAAGAACGTTTCAACAGTTTGAAAGAAGTAATAAAGATAACGTTAATAATAAAAAGGGAAAAAAATAAAAAACTTTTAATGATGTACAATTATAGATGTACTGGCAGTCGTACTTGACAATGGTACTTATTAGCGTCGCGCGTGTGTTACATTAGCGAGGGCCAATTTTGTAATATAAAGTCAGACGGATTCATGTCGGGAATCCTTTTTTCCTTTCATTGAGGTGCTTGTACGTGGGTTAGCGATACTCTGTTTGCTCTTTCGTGACCGCGGTAAAGTAGATAATACCAACGATTTTTTTTTTTACACGATATTGTACTAGCCCTTACTATGTGATGCTCGTAATCTTAAATAGATTTTGCATTTACTCGTACTTAAATACATATACAGTAAAGGTAACAATAATCATACTCATGTCACTCCAATTAACTTTTATTTACTCCATATCAGTTCCTTTGACTCATGCATTTACACGCTTGTACAAGCAGGTCCTCGATCACACTGTACATACTGAATGAAGGATAAAAATAATTTTTAATTGAATATTATTATTAGTTTGTAGTCATTAGTTGTTTTTTTTTTTTTTTTCGTTAATTTTGTACAAACCCAAAGAGTAAACCCGTGATGACAGTTGTCATAGATCCGCGGTGAAAAACTCTTTTTCGACTCCCGGGAAATTAACGGAAATATCTACCGAGGTATCGAATCCGTTGAGCTTTATCGACGTTTAAAGTTTTTTATTACATTATTTTATCCGAAACTTTTTATGGAAAACATTTTATTTAATAAATTAAATTGTTAGTTAATTTTTGGGTCACTATTTTTGTCTTTAATAGTTGAGTTAAAATATTTATGTACAGAATTTATTGCCGAATCGAACATAATTTTTCTTTCGCATCAATTTTATTTAATTTTTTTTTTTTTTTTTTTTTTTTTTAATACTATAGTCTCTGATTTTTTTCAATTTTTCTTATCGTTATTTAAAATTTACAAATTTTGAGAAAATATTCTATTTTTCAAATCGGTTGATAAGTACATTTATTTTTTGAAATCTAAAAAAATTTCTTTAATTAAAAATTAAAGTTTTTTAATTTTAACAATAAATATAAAAAATGAATTTTTTTACGAAATTATTTTATGATATCTCTTACAAAAATCTTGAATTTTTTTCGTCACAGCAGCTTTTAAAAACGAAGTTTTTGAAAAAAAAGTGCAAATTATAAAATTTAAAAAAGAAATATAGTGACTTAAAATTTAATTAATTTATTATCGAAATTTTTAGAAGTCCATTATTTAATTTATAATTTTCTTAAAATAAATTATTGGAAAACTTTAATCGTCTATAAAGAAAACGCAAATCATTACATATATATTCTCTGACTGACTTAGATTGAGTGAAAATTAAGAATAAAATAAATAAAACTATAACAAAGTGATAGTACATTCTTGCCGTCGGTTTGTAAATATTGATAGAAAAAAAAAAAAGAAAAGAAAAAAATATCATATATCATATACATTCATGTCATTTCTAATATTATTCTTTTTTTAATTAAAATAATTTTTTTTATTTTTGATATCGACACTCGCGGTATTATGTATATTTGTATCCTCGCGATGATTCGGTCACTGCAGGTTATCTGGGCGAAGGAAGGGTAATATTGTTTTGTATAAAAGAAGAAAAATAATAATTAAAATAAAAACGTACTTTTAAGCCTCTGTACAAAAATGATAAAACAAATTTTCGTGGCAACTATCGTGAAGAATATAAAAAAATAACGATTAAGGTGAGTCAGCGTGTCGGGAAAAATGATTTTATTTTCTATACCTTCAACCTTGTATCGATCAAGTGTAATGAGACGTAGAAGTAAATCTGTAATGGCAATAAAGAGAAACATTGCATGATTCATAGTAAAATGCTATTTATGGTTGGTTTGAAGAAATAAAATGTTACAGTAATTTTTCAATAAAATATGAGCTTCGAAAAATATTGAATAGTGTTGAAGTATGCGAGAGAAAATAGTTACATTAGAAAAAATTGGTAATTACAAAACAATATCAAGATCTGCTCATCACAACTTTTTCCGCTAACTTACGTTTGATAATTACATCGAAGCTGAGATCTACATATGTTTTGTGGTAAAAATTAAAAAATCAAGTTATTCATAATTTTTTTTTTTTTTTCAAATTTTCTTCTGTAAAATTAAAAAAAAAATTGAATTCAAAAAATTGAAGAATCGAAAAAGCTCAAAAATTGAATTATCGACTTTTGATCAACATATTAATTTTGATGCATTAATTTTTCAATTCTAAAATATTTTTAATCATCTTACGCAACTAAAAAAAAAAAAAAAAGTTTTTGTGTTAATTTTTGAGAAATAAATCCAAAGTAGGTAAAGTCATACCAACAATATTGAAAAATTGATGCATAACTTCTAATTTATTAGTCAAAAGTTGAAAATCCA